GGAAGAGACCAAGATGGAGGGGGGAGAGGGGAGGGGAGTCCCGCGGGCCTATGCAGTAGTCGTGCATAAGGATGACGAGGCAAGCAAATGACAGGCTGCAAGCACAGCTGGACCGTGCGAGGAATGAAGAGATGGTGTAGCAGGAAGGAATTTCTTTTGGATTGTCTAAATCTGTGTCTTTGAACGGTAATTACAACTTAATTTAACGCCTTAAGTACTAAAAGCGACAGCACAGCGGCAAGTTTTATCTTTTACGCGTCATTTAAGGAAAGGATCGTTCGATGTTGAATACAATACTTTTAACACGTCCCACCTGACTGTAGACACCACGCCCCCTCCAAACTCTCCGTGTTTACTTTTTGGCTGACATGTTTTCCACCATGGCTTGCACCTGGTACAGCTCCCTTTCACTCGAGGTCATGATCTTCCACCGTACGCTCCACAATTTGCTTGTGTTGACCAAAAGTCTTGTAAAGGAGAGACATGTTGAGCCTACTGTTGGTTCGTGACGAAAATTTAATGCTTCAATCATCCAATCACCACAAACGTAGTTGAATTAAAATTTTGCTCTCCTGAGGACATCCAGAGGGTGATACTGACCAATAAAATAAATCATTGAAGAGGAAATGTGAAAGCGGGTTGGAGTTTCGAAAGTATTTCTTCAATGTTTGCCTGCGAAAAAGAAGAATAACCTCCTGGCCCCTGAGTACGTGGAAGAAGCCTATGTCCTTTAATGCGTACATTTTGCGCGCTAACGAGCGAGAGAATGGGAAAAAGACATCGCTTTCTTGCACTTCACGGTGCCAACGAGATTAAGAGCTCGCTTTGATTTGGGTCTCCGATTGATATTGTTTCCCCAGGGAACATTCGATTGGTACTCTTGCAGCGCGTTTTTGCCACGTACCTAAGATCCTTATAAATGAACAGGCGCTTCCACCATTTTACGACGGAAATCACGCTACAATGATTTCAAGAACGCTGAAAGGAGCGAGACATACAAGGTGTATACGGTCCTACCTGTCGTCAGTATTTTTTCAACATAATTATCCTCAAGTAGTACCGCTTATAATTCGGGGCGCACAAAACCTGAGCACTCTCCCGGGCACCCCATCTAGCGCTTCCATTAACCCTCGGTCGACCACGTCTACATCTCATGTACCCTCAGAGAAGTCTACGTTGGTCGTGACCGACCCGTCGCCCCCTTCCCGTCCCGCCCGGAAGACCTTTCAACATTTTCTGGCCCTTGCCCGTCCCGAGACCCCGGCATTCCTGACCGCCTTGGCGGCCGTGGCCGTAGGGACAGGGACGACGGTGGTCTTTCCTTTCGCGATAGGGAAATGCATGGACGCCATGGCCCTGGGAAACACGAAGCAGCTGGTCGACAGATCCAAAGGCACGGCCGATGGCACCCTGCCGGCAATTGACACGACAGCGGCCCATCTTAGCATGAACGCGAGTGAATTCATCGAGGCAAGCTTTGGGCCCGGCGTCATACCGGCTTGGGCCATGGACCTCATTCCTCCGGATGCTGCGCCGCTCTCCGTGTTGAGTGCGGGATTGGTGGGAGTGTTTGTGGTTGGCGCTCTGGCAACTTTTGTTCGGAACACCACGGTGCATGTGGCGGGGGAACGCATCGCTGCCCGCTTACGAAAGCGGGTCTTTGCATCCGTCGTGCACCAACGCCTGGCTTTTTTTGACCGGTCGGGGACGGGCGAGGTTATGAACCGGCTTTCAAATGACGTTACCCAGGTGGCTAAGACGCTTTCGGAGGATACAAGCTATTTCCTGCGGAATTTCGCGCAGGGGGCGGGGGCGTTGGGCATGATGCTTTACACTTCTCCACAGCTCTGCGCCATCATGCTGGGTGTGATCCCCCCCGTGGCAGTGTGGGGGGTGTTTTTTGGGAAAAAAGTGCGCGACTTGTCGAAGCAGATGGTGGACGAGTTGGCCAATGCGGGCAGCATCGCCGAGGAAAGAATCTCGAACATTCGGACGGTGCGAGCCCTGGGAAACGACGAGCTGGAAGTGGGGCGGTATGCCCACCAGATGAACAATGTCTTCCGGGTAGCGAAACACAAGAGCCTTATGCAAGGTATCTATTACGGCGTGGCCATGGGGTCCGGGAATTTGGGCATGGTGACTGTCTTATACTTTGGCGGGCAGTACGTGAGCGAAGGGTTGATCACCGTGGGCGATCTTTCCACCATGTTGCTGTATTCGGTGTACGCGGGCTTTTCGATCTCGGCGCTCTTGTCGTACTACGGCGATTTGATGAAAGCCGCCGGTTCGGCAGAACGCATCTTTGACCTGTTGGAGACGGAGAAAACACCATCGCGAGGACGAGTAACACCGACACAAGTGCTCAAAGGAGCAATGGATAAGGAAGGATCTCGGATGAAGACCTGGCCTCAAGTTCGGGGACCCCTGATCTTCGAGGGCGTGTCTTTTGCCTACCCTACTCGCCCTGACTTTCCAATTTTTCAAGACTTAGACCTGGAAGTGCGCGAAAACGAGACCTTGGCCCTGGTCGGTCCCTCCGGTAGCGGGAAATCGTCCATTGCTGGTCTGGTCACACGCATGTACGAGCCGAACGCAGGGAGGATATCTTTTGGCCCTGAGCGCGTGCCTTTAGAGAGCGTACCGAAGGAACACTTGCGAAAAAGCATCTCTTATGTGACTCAGGTACTGAATTTTAAAAGGGGGTAATAGTTACGTAGGATTGGGGTCAGTGACAAGGCGTTAGGGGTCGGTGCTGTCGGTGGGCATGCACCCCGGCCGTACAGGGCGTGGCTTGGCATCGGTCTGGGTCCACTGATCACTCTTTCCTCCCATGTCCTTTCACATTCAGGATGCAGTCCTCTTCTCTGGGAGTGTCCGTGACAATTTATTTTTGGGCTTTCCCGATATTGAATCGTCACATTTGTCGGTGGACGACGGTCTCAACTTGTTCCCTTTACTAGAAAAACAAGAACCTTTCACCTTTGGACATGGGATACAAGGAGGAAATGCTTGGAATATGGAGGAGAGGATGTCCCGGGTCAGGTAAGGACGGCTTGTGGAGCAGGAAACAGAGAAAGGAGGAGAGGGATAATGTGAATTCAATGCCAGAGACTTACACCTGTCCCGGTGAATCATTGTCTCGTCCTCTAAATCCTGAGACATTTCGCCTTTCCATAATCGCACTTCTTCCATGCCCTTGTTCTGATGCCTTTTTCCCCGCTCCCTGACATTTTATTTTGTTTTCTCAATTTATTTGTAGGGAAGCGTGTCGAACCGCCAATTGCTTGGCGTTTATTGAGCAGTGGGAAGACGGCTTCGATACTGTGATCGGAGAGCGCGGGGCACAATTGAGTGGCGGGCAACGAGCTCGGCTGGCGCTGGCACGGTAAGCCTTGGAGGCCATGATATAGAGTGCTAGCGGTTGCATATGGGAGGAGCGACAGTGCGAACACGTTGCTTGCACTTTCTGACCGTGCACTTTCTTGTTTTCGACAATGTAATTGATTGTTCGCGGAACTAAACAAACGCGATCCTTCTTTCCTCTCACCTCTATCCACACGCCCAGGGCCATATTGAGGGATTCACACGTGCTCCTACTCGATGAAATCTCGGCAGCTCTGGATTCTGTGTCTGAAGCGGCTCTTCACACTGCCTTGGAAAGAGTCTTAAAGGTATTTCTACGACATATTCTGTACACGATTGTGCTTGTGGATAATTTTTCCTATCCGATATTGGAATCATCAGGTTGATGTGTATGTATGTATGGCCTTAATTTTGTGCTTTTGGTTGCCACATCGTTTATGCATTCGCTGTATTGCATCCCATGTTTCTCATGCTCACTGTTTCGTCACAACAACCGCAAGTGCTATTATGTTCTTGATTTTAGTTAAAGGCTCTATGTTTACGTCTTTTTTCGCTTTTACACTTATCATCTCAGAATCGAACGACCCTCCTTATTGCCCATCGTTGGTCTTCCATACAAATCGCGGACCGTATTGCCGTTCTCGGCGATGGAAAGATTATCGAGATCGGGACCCCCCAAGATCTTCTTTCCACGTCTTATAATAGCGCCTTCCGCCGCTTGGTAGGTGATTTGAAGATCGAGTAATCATTTTTTCTGGTAGAGGCTCGATTTGAACATCATGTGGTCAACGTTAGGGCTTAAGAAGAGAGGCCAGTCAGGTTTACAATAACAGGTGCCTTTTGCACGGTCTTTTCCCTCATTGATATTCATTCAACTTCTGGTACAGGTGGAACATCAGTTAAAAGCGGCTCCGACAATGTAAAGAACTAAATGTCGAGCCCATTATGAGCGCAAATTTTGTCGAAACATGCTTGTACAAGATGAAATGAAAGCTTATTACGGAGAAGTATGTATGTTGCTCGGAAGTTTCGCAAAGGGGGCAGTTGTTTGTTGACTGTACAATTATTTCCTATAGCGATGCTTAGCACTAGTCCATAGAGGCTAAGTTCTAGTGCTCTCGCTTTATATAATTTGATATCACCGTGTACGATTGATAGCTAGATTTACCCCAATTTCCAATATCGCAAGGCCTATTACTTTCACAAAGAACACTTTGTCCGAGATTGCGTGTTGGCTGATTGTGATAAAACCATCGTGTAAAACACTTAGAGCTAGAAACGCTTTTGAAACAAGGGAAGGCGTCGCAACGTATATCTTCCAATTTATTGGAAGCGGCGTCTGCCGCTGAGTCTTCCATTCTTCTCTTTTTGTCACCGACAGGACATATCATTGCAATTATCGAAAGCTAATTCACAATGCTTTGCTTTTTAAAGCATTTTTTAGTGAGAATAAATGTCGAATATCAACAAGCAATTTACCAAATTCAGTCCTAGAAATGATCAGCCCTTCTCGCCCGTTAAGACTTTGCCCAGCCGTTACCTAACTCCGAAAACCTTTTTCGGATTTTTACTTTTCAAATACTCTGCCTATCTAATATCATTTCGTATGGAGAGAAAAAAGGTTTTAATAGGTATGGCAATATTATGAGAAGTATTATAAAGATAACTTGGGAGGATGGCATGGTTTATCCTTTTGCAATCATCAGGTTTCTGACTTGCAAGAAGGATTTTGACTAGGCTCCTCGAGGAGGCTAAAAATTGCGCCACTAATAAATGCGGGAAACGTGATAAATTTGTAGTCTTCTACATCATCTTTCAATAAACTCATATGAGTGTACAAGTCATGCTCATTTTTACATTTTGAAAGGCGAAAAGATGATTAAGCTGCGAGGCTGAACAAATACATAAGGACACGTCTCTGAGCATCTAAGAGCGCTTTCAATTCGAATCCACACAATGAGACAGACTATGAAAATCAATGATTGTATCATAGTTATACTTCTCGTAGCTCTTCAGGGTTACAGCTTACCCGTTGAAAAGAGCCCCGAAAAAAGTTTCAAGTCCGGACAAGTGATATTTGGCGCAAACAGGATATCCCGGCCTGACACGGCCCGAGGTGACAATATTATGGTCAAGATGAAAGGTCGCAATCTTAGACTTAGCCTTAACTTGAAAAGATTACGGAGGGATAGCTTTCCTAAAATCTCCATGAGCAAGTATCATAAGATAATTTGCTCTGCAGTTGCCTTTGGAGACCTCCTATTCTGGATCCTGCATCGTTTCGATTTAGATGCTACAGCTCTCTTATCAGACGAATATTTTTCGCTACGATCTTGGCAAAAAAGACAAAATCTTTTCGATTTCTTGATACGTATCTTTTTGTACCCGGTGGGCCATGGAAATCTATTTCATTTTTTGGGTGAGTTGCGACTCGGAATCGATGTAACCGAAGTCGTTGTCCATATTCGAGTTTCCCGCATGCTTCAACAGGAAACATAACACTTTTGACTGCAGTTGGTTCTTGGACAGAAGGTGAGCTAAAGCGTCAACCGTCTGTGTACATAGCGGCACTGCCCTGATCATAATTCCTATTTCCTCCAACTACAGGCATTTTCGGTAAACTCCCAATCTTCCTCCTCATACTTTGTTGTGAATTCCTTGGAGGTGAGTAAACTTCAAGTTCGGGACCATTCTACATAGTTAATTCACGCGAGAGTCATACTTCAGGCATGGGCGCCGTGCTTCTCTCAACAGACGCAAATGGAGGTAGAGGGTCAAGCGGAGTCGTTCTATGCCTGCTAACGGCAGGTGCATTCCATAAGGCTGAGGTAAGATGGAGCGGGAGAAAATGTGTATACATATTTTTTTCACAATCCTCCCTGTAATCAAAATAGCGAAGTAATGTAGACCGATAGAAATGGCTTCATGAATGTGGGCTTTGCACGACCACGTCATTATCCCACAGGAGTCGGTAGTTCAGCGCCTGCTCGCCACGTCATTCTCTTTGTTTCTTATGTACAACGTCTTTTCAAAGGCACGGATCTCGGCCGATTCTGCCATACATTACCTGGGATGTATGATTGGCCTTCTATTCCTCCACGTTACTCGCAAGATATATCGAAGGGAAAGTACCAAAGCAAAGACCCTGAGATAGGTCACGGAATCATTCTGAGGATTGAGTTTATCCCTTAAATCAAATGATAATGCATTTGAAACAAGCGACAAGCCCATAAACAGGCAGCACCATAGAAAGCACAATCTAAAAGATACTCAAAAGAGCAACCGTAAAGAATATTTGGAATGCGTTATACCTAGTTAACTTTGATGCACACCAAAAGCGATGTTTTGCTGTCAACAAATGTCCCCCTATCCTGTTCTTGTAAATCCGTCCCAAGGCAATCATCGCGTGGCACTACGCTCGCTAAGCGAATGTTGTACTACGTTCATGGTCTCGATATACCGGTCCATGCACATGGCGACGCAGTTCTGCTCCTGTCAAGTGCATTTGCGAATGGAAACATGGGAATGCATCGCGCCAAAAGCGGGTCAAAAAAGAGGGTTCAAAACTGCGGAAACGCTTCGAGCAAACGTGCAACAGTGCTCCTCCAAGAACGACCTGGATCTCTGCCTTGGCACTTTTTCCAACATCCCCACACCCGAAATTTACCTTGGAATCCAGTCGATTCCCACTTTTCCCCGTACACTTGCTGAAGCACTTGTCCGTCATCTTTTGAACCAATTCTTGCATGGCTTGAGCCGCCATCTCTGCTCGGAACTACCAAAAAGTCGCGGTAGGGAAATAATGGTCAGTCCCAGCCATTGCGTCGGGTGATAATGTGTGTCCCTGGTGTCTAGATCTCTGTAAGGTTGCATTAATGGCTGTAGTCTCCACAACATTGCTATTAAATGTGCGTTCACTTTAACACTTTTATCCGCAAACTTCGCAAGGACTCTTTTTCATGTACCGCTCCCCATCAATACCCCTCTCTACGGAGCCAATAAATTAAAGACATGCACCACACTTGTTTTTGAATTTCTATTGTGCGCACCTTGTGAATGACTGCCTCCTGTTGATCAGGAGTCAATTTCTGTGCCATGTCGACAGAGGTGCGGGTCAGTTGGGTAAGTGACGATTGCAAGGCTTCCTGTGTCGTGAGCAAGGACAAGCGATATAGGACAGGGCCATGGAGATAGAGAGTCAGACTTGTTGAACGTCCTCTTCTAGCGCATATGTGGGACCAAAACAGATTTTTTAAAGGGCTTTTCACTACTTAAGTTGTACCAGACTTAGGAGGGCTTCTCAGATATTGTACGTATAAGACAGCGAACGTTTATCACTACCAGCACATGTAATGTGGCACAAGCGTTCCACCCAGCTCCTCAGCTGCATTCAATTGTACCGCTTCAGGTAAGAAATGTGACTTTGTGTCCGCTGCTTTCATAAAGTTCTTTTGTTGTTCAGAGGCCACGGGGGGGATTTGGGGCGGGCGCTCGCTCGAGCGTCGCCAAGCGAGGGGTCGAAACGCTTCTGTTTCCCGTGCCAAAAAATGGCGTTGACAAAATTATCTTCTGCATGGCTGCGCGGTATATCTGTATAGAAATACGACGTATGTTTTGTGTGTCGAGACACGACTAGGGGCGTAGCATGTTTTTAATCGGATTTTACGCGACTACAGGCGCCAAAAGCTTTCCCTTGCCCATATGTCTTCGCCCGCCCGAGGACACGTCGAAAATATGTTAGCCGACCAAACAGAAGGCAGCGACGACAATTGGCTACGAGACTTCCGAGAAATGAAGCAGTCAATACTGATGTCGCCTGCAGGCACCTCATCGACAGGCTTTCCTTCCCCAGCACGCCGCATATCAGAGGTAGACCCTGCGGCCGTCAACGGTGATCATTTAGATCAGGAAATTAAATCTATCGTAGATATTCTTCAAGACGAAGATGCAGCGAACAAGAAGTTGAATATTGGCAGCAGCCATCATCCCGTGATCGGAGGTAAAGAAAAGGCAATTAAGGGTCCGTACGACAGATTGACTGGGTGCGCACCGGCAGCCAGTCCCTTGTCCTCTTCCTCCTCCTCCTCGTCTGAATCGTCCCGTGCTTCCTCTCCAGAGAGCACTCCCTCGCCAGGCCACAGCGGCTTCAAAAACAGCAGTAGCCACGAAAGCAGCTGCTACAGCCCTAATGCCTATCAAATCCTCCGCAGTGAGCAGCCTCTGGCACCACCCTTTAATGACGATCCGACGGAAGACAACAGAAAGCCTTCCTACACGGACATGCACCGGACGACGAACTATCAGGAACTACATCAAGCCCCACCATCTTGGGCCCCGGAAACACAGCACGAGGAGTCTTCGTTAGCCCGGCCTCCCAGCGATATCGCCTCGGGTAATTTGCTAAGGATGCTGTACGAAGAGAAGGAGCGAGGGCAGGGACAAAAAGCGCGGATCCAGGGATTGGAAGTGGCCCTGGCCGAGACAACACAAGAAAAGGAGGTAGCTATGGCCTCGGCTCGTCTTGAAATTCACGAACTTAGAGGCATGCTTCGGCGAGTGGCCTCTGAAAGTACCTTTTCCGACGTCTTCACGCTCTACGAGGCTCACATTGCCCGCGTGGAAAAGGAGGCAAACGTGCTGCGGGACCGCAATGTCCACCTAGAAGCTTGGCGACTGGATCAGCGGCAACAAAGCGAGGAGAGCAGGGGGCAAGGAAGGGCTGATGCCTGTGGAGGGGAAGGCGACAGCCAAGGTTGCAATCGACCCGATCGTCCCACTCCCTCGCCATCGCGAAAGAATAGAAAGTCTCTTCATGGGGCGACAAAACCAGCGCCCCATAATGCACAGGATACATTTTGGAGCCCCACGTCGGCTCTGTCAACGGCAATGAGAATGAACGGAAGCCAGCCGGCACCGACAGGGGTGCTCGTTGCGTTAAGGGGTAAAGTCAAGGAGTTACAACGGCAGGTGAACGATCTCAAGCAAGAGACTGGGGAGCTGCGGCGGCGAGAACGACAATTTTTGGTGCAGAAGCGCATGGTCGAGACGACGTGGGCCCGGGTGCAAAAGGTTCAATTTATGGCGAAAGGCCTGGAAAGCAGCCTGGCTTCCTCTCGACTCGACGGGGCACGGGCAGAGGCTCGTTTGGAAGAAGCTGAGGGAGAGATCCGGGCTTTGCGTCAGCGGGAAGCGGTGTTGGTCATGGACCGCGACAGGTGTTTGCAAGAGCTTGAGGTGATTCGCAGGCAACTTGGTGGCGTTGGCAATGCCCGGGGCAGTGCCTTTTCCAAAGGAACGCATGGGAGAGAGAGAGATTGTCCGAGGCGCTAGAATGGACTTGGGAATGGTGAAATTTCGAAATGAGGAAGCCTGGCGTCGCAAATATGGAGCGTAGCTATCATAGTCACAGTATTTGCCGGGAGGACAACTTTATAAAGCGCAATAAAGAAATCAGATATCTAATATCGTTCTTAGAGAGTGCAATGGGATGCAAGGCTCAAAAAATTTGGTTTGTATCTCACAAGTTTGTTGTGCATCAGCAAACAAATCCGCGTTTTTAAACTCAGGTTCAAGCATTCCAAGAAATCATGTCCACGCAGGCAATCTCTTCCAAAGCAAATGGAGGAATGTAGTCCAACGGATCACGCACAGAAGCACTCCCAGATTCTGGAATGTCGACTTCCTCCAACTCCGTAGTCGATTCCAAAATTTCCAGTATCTCTCCTGCTGTTGCGGCGTCTCGAATAGCTTCACTTGGCAGCTCAAATGACTCGCTCACGTGTTTATCCTCACGTTGGGGGCCGTTTCCAGACCCTATCCAGGACGAAGCGAGAGGGCACAAAGACGATGGCGAATGAGGAGAAGCTAGGGCCTCTCCAGATGTATACTCATCAGGTGCTTGCATGGCCACATCTTCAACAGACAGCAAATGTTCCTCACTGTCCTTCGCATCCACACAATTTACATCGCCATCTTCAACCTGGGATATTGCAAAGTCCATAGTTCTGGACATTTCATGAGAAGTGCATTGAATAGGTACCACATCCTTGTGCGTGAAAAGAGGCTCTTCTTCTTTCATTTCCACTGGAGGTGGAGCACTTGTCATCTGCGCTTCCCCTGTGTGAACCTCACTTGCATCTGTCTCGCTTCTGGCATCAATTGAAGATGTTAGAGAGTTGAGTAACTTCTTTCTGCCCGACACTTTCTTTATGTCGCGATTACTTTTTGTCATCGGTACTGTACGAACGCCCTCTGATCTTTCTGCTGACGCGCTTGCATCGTCAAGTGCGGCGAACTTCGCTGCTAGTGGAGCTGTCGATATGTCTTTAGACTGTGGTAGTGTACCAGGAATGAAGCGAGGTGGAGGACGCTGGGGCACATGCGTGGATGATACCGGTAGTTGGGACGAGGAGGGTTCCGAAGTTGAGGAAGACTTATAAGACTTTTGCCTCCTAAGTTTTCCCGTTTCCTCGGGGGACAGCCTACGAAGTCGCCAATTTGATGAACGAAATAATGAAGTGCTAGAAACTTTGTTGGATTGATCCTCTGTGTATTGCTTGTGGACTCTTCTGGAAGTGCTGCTTATATTTGCCTGAAAGGTAAAAATGCCACTACAAATGCAAAGCGCTAAAAATATCAAGAAATTCATACAAATGACATGCTTGCAACGTGCAGAAAAGGTTTTTGAATGATCGTAGGATTGTAAATTTACTCGTTCGTCCAAAAGCGAGGAAGCAGGCCGTGAGACATGTGCACGCCTCCGCATGGACGAGTTGTGTTGTGACGACCACATGGCGAAGGCTGCTGTGTTATAGGTACGTCAAGAGAGCCGTTATATACCAACATTTGTCCATTGGAGAGTGTCTTAGAAACAGAAATTTCTACCAAGACACGTCTTTTACCTCTGGTTCGTTATACCACGACACCAGCAGCGAAACCGTTGGAAACCGTTTGGAGCCGTTGAAAATTTTGACAGATAAAAGAATCGAGAGAAACGGCCAGACCCAGCCCCGCAAGGAGGAAATGTCTACATAGCGGCTAATTTATTTATATGTAATTGCTTGATCAATGTCCATCCAGAATATTACATAACATCTTTATATACATCTATGAGTAACTTCTTATCTCTATGCATAAAGGACAGTACGCTGTCACGAAACACATTTGTTTCTGGAGACTAGGAAACTATGGATATGGAGGATCGGTACACCGAGTGTAAAGAAAGCGATAACCCTCCGGCATGTCTGCAGTCACAAAAAGGTCATGCCCGCCATTTCACACAAGACATCTGTATGGTCGAGGACTTTCAAGATGGCCAAGATTGTCGCTCAGTCAATTTGTCTGATGCATTAGTAGATGACGATTCTCCGAAAGAAAGGTAAGTAGACTTCTAAGTGAGGGCAGAAAGTATTGCTTTTGTAAAAGATTCTGCTATCGATATAACATAAAGTTAAAAATTAAAACTTTCTGAGGTCACATAAAACACACATATTACACATTTCAGTTATTCAACTCACGCGCCTAGCAAGAAACCTGTGGACGATTGTCATCAAATCAGACGAGGTATGGTCCTATTGATAAATGCAAACAAGAAAATCTATTCGATCTCAAATATAAACGTAACATCTCTGCCCTATCTCTTCCATATATGTCTCTCATGGACCAGCACCATGTAAAGTGACGCCCGGAGTCATATGCAGTCGACTACTAATTCCACAATCCAGGGTAGGCCTAGCAATCGGTCGTAAAGGAGGTCGCATTCGAGAAATGTCTGCGACAACGGGCGCTCGCATAAATGTCTGCATCCAAAATGGAATAGGGCGTGATGAAGCGTATCGCTTAGTAAGTATTTCGTATCACCTGAGCCAGTCAATTTGAATGTTAAGTTTGTAACTATCTGCTCCTTGTCTCATACTTTGAATTTAGATCGTCGTCACAGGCTCTATTACTGCTGTTTGTTGGGCTGTTGACCTGCTCGCCCAAAAGACTGGATTATTCAATGGTTACAGTAATATTTTGAGTCGACCAAAGGAAATGTAAGTTAAATCGGACGTTGAGCATAGACTGCACATTGCCTGACGATTAACAACACCCGACCACTCACTCACAGCTTAAATCATAAAATGGGTCGAACGCCTGTGATGGATGCAAATTCTTTAATACCAGAGGGAAAAGATGGAATAGGCAATCCAAGCCCCGCTGAGGAAAGTATCATAGACGGAGCAACAGAGTTGAAGAATAATGGTGATAGAAAAAGTGACCAAATCGTACCTCTCCCTGGCATCAGATTGCTGGTGCACTCATCCATGGTAGGTGTGACGAGATTACTTCATTTATCCCCGCTGTCTGGGCTCTTTCTCAAGTCCCTTTTTACCACGCAATAATTATCACACTCTGGGATCATATCTTCATCTCTTTTCTCAAAATCCGCTATTAAAATAGGCTGGCGCACTGTTAGGAAGAGCAGGATCCACAATCTCCTTTATTCGCAGCCAGTCAAATGCACGGATCGTACTACTGAACGAGGAAGAAAGTGCCATGGAAGGAGGAGTAAGTGTGGGAGAAATATCATCGTACCAAACTGTTTTTAAAGGGCATTAAGCTTATATCAGCAACTTAATACGTCTATGACCGATACATCTCCGTCACTTCCGTAACAGATTGTAGGGGAAAGGGTGTTGCTAATCGTGGGAATACCTGACTACTGCCGGCGCGCCCACTTACTCGTTCTAGGCGCTTTGAATGACACGAATTTTCTTGCAAAGGCTCGAGCCCAGCAGGGCCTCCCAGGATCAATCCAACAAGATTACTCCAAAGCCGACACCACACTTCCAAATCTTCGAAGAAGTAGTAAGCAGCCGAAAAATCAAATGAAGGACCATGAAATGGTGAGTAATAAAACTTATGACAATCATGTGACATTGTGTCACAAATGTAGCTGAATTGTTGTTTTCAATCTAAAACACCCCTTCACATCTTTCCTATACATGAAACGCTAGACAATGTGTAATCGAGCGATGGTAAATTTCGCGAGCCCGGTTCCTCTCTCGTTCAATATGGGTGTTCAGTCGCCTTATGCATTCTCGCCCGCGCACATGAATGCGATGATGAGCTACCAACAGCAAGCCTTCTCAATGCAGCTGCAAGAGCAGCATATGCTTTTTCAGCAACAGATGTGGCAGTATTACCAAATAAGTCCCTTTTCCAATAATTTCGAGAACGCGAACATGGTCCATGCATCTATACCGCTGACAGAGGAGAGATACTCAATGGAGTCTGATAAGTGAAATGAAGAGTAGCATCATTAAAAATGATGAGGAAAAAGTGAGGGAACAGGTACTGTAAAGAATAAATTGAAGCGAAGATAGGATGTAGGGAATACTAAAGGACATTCAAATCAAGAAGCTACCTGAGAAAAAGCAATTACACCTGTATACGATAAATTATCTGTTCATCGAGTATAAAACGTACATAGTCCAATATCCCCGCGTCAAAAATCGAGTGTTTGTGAACTCTCTCCAGAAATTTACAACCTGTCCTCGGTACTGTCGATGAACCATAAAACACGCACATGGCTAAGAAAGGTCGATCAGACGAGTGCTTTTTAATATTTACACATGATAGTGGTCCCTGGGACTCCTGGAAGGAAAATCGTGCCGAAATTGAAACTGTGCTATGTCTTTACAAGTTAAAAGGGGCTAAAAAGTCACGTTTTGGAGTGATATCTTCTTATAGGTATATGATAGGCAGCTAAGATTTTCATATTGTTCCCAGTTTTTTTAAATATCCTTCTATTTGTTTCCAAAAAACAAATTTAATTGCGTATATCCACCCGTATTCAATGAAGCAAT